GGAGGAGGAGGCAAATGTAAGAAAAGTGTAAGAAGGGGTGGGGGTCAAAAAGTCCCCAAAAAGGTGTAAGACTATATTTGAACAGCCCCTAACCTAACCCTCCTTATCTGGGCGACTGTTAAGATTCCTGCGTTTAATTCCGGTGCGTTTTTCATACCCTCAGGCATTCGCTTTGGTCCCTAACCCTAGGTTAGGGTTAGGGTTAGGGTTAGGGCTAGAGCCAGGATTAGGGTTAGGGTGGTTAAGGTTAGAGACCAAAGTGAAATATGCCTGAGGGTATGAAAAACGCACATCGGAATTAAACGCGGGAATCTTAACAATCGCCCTTATCTGCAGCATAACTATCAGAGGTCTCTTGACAAAATTTAGAACAAGCTGTAGAGTTATCTCAGCCAGGAGCCTTGGGGATCCACTCCAACTGCAGCTTGCAAAATTCATACGAACCTGGAACCCTTGGCCTTGGACCTGCGAAGAGAGTCAGCAGTTGAAGACATGAGCGAGCGCTACAAGAGACGAGATAAAAACCATCCAAACAGAACGATCATTGAAAAGAGGCGACCAAATAAACGAGTCCATGAAAGATCAATACTCACTCGACACAGCCACCAAAACAGGTAATTTTTGTCGAGATAACAACAAAAACAACAAACAACAACTGATAACAACAAATACAAACTAATGACACAAAAATACTTTTTAATTCGAGCCTCAAAAATCAACATCCAGGTGGTCAACCAGGCACCTACTTCAGATTAGGTGCACAACTCCGGGCAGCATACTGGAAGGAAGTCTAGACAAGTAATCTAGACTCTATTCTTTTTCTTTACCACAGAATTCTATACTTTTTTCTGTGGCTATGACAGGCGGAGTTGCGTCCCTTCTTTTTTGTTTACATTCAAATCGAAAGTAAAATCGAAAGTAACAATTTATCGGAAAAAACGAAACAAAATTAGGACGTTTGTGTTGATATTTGTCGTTATTTAATTTTGTTGTTACCAGTTGTTATTTGTTGTTATCAGTTGTTATCAGTTGTTATTTGTTGTTATCTCGACAAAGTTAAATACCAATGTAAGCAAACTCCTTTAAAAGTAAAAGCAAATAAATTAGGACGTTTGTTTTTATATTTGTCATTGTTTTGTTATCAGTTGTTATTTGTTGCTATCAGTTGTTATCAGTAGGGCACTTCTTTATACCGGAACCTCCCGAAAACAACCAAAACCTCCCAAAACCACCCGAAACCACGCCAAAACCACTCGAAACCACCCAAAACCTCCCGAAACCTCCTCAAAATTTCTATGATAATATGATGTTATTTTGCTATGCTATCTATCGCTCTGTGGAAAAAATGTTGATCTGTAATACAATATTGTCGTATTTGTATACTCCTTTTGTTTTAGTAAGTGTTTTACTGCACTTGCAACACGATGCGGTCAAATAAGTGCCGAAGATTAGAGGTGTTACAAGACAGCAACAAACACCCAAAAAAAAGAAAGAGGGGAGATAACGACGACAGATAGGAAAGAAGGAGAAAATCACACCAGAGCTCCCGTCAACCACCCGCTTGGATACTTTTTGATCCCGAATAAATCATTTAAACTAAAAAACAATACAATATCATTATAAGAAAAAATATTTCGCTTGGTTTGACTTGTTTCTATTTCAAGCACTTTTTATTTGGCATGTAGGCCTACATAGGAAAAGTACATATCTAAAAATTGTCTTGGGGAATTTTTGGTATATGCTTTAGTTTTCATTCTACGGTACTTAAAAGGATCGGCTTATTGCATAACTGAAAAAAGGGAAAAATTCCTTTCTGACGCCATTTATCAAAAGCTATATGGGCAATCAAAAATTCCTGAAGACAATTTCTAGAACAAGGTGTCGTTACTCGTTAATATTCTGTGAAAGTTACACTAAAATTGAATAAGATACAGCAAGAAAATGGGATAACGTGTGTGAAAATAGCATTTTAAGAAAACGGCCGATAAAGGTCAGAATAAGGCCAAAGTAGTTCTCTTTCCAATTAGAAACCGTAAAACATATTTTAAACTCGAACATGGCAACTTTCTTGATAACATTAACACAATAAAAATAGAATGAATGTTTCTTACTAAAACTGAAACAACGCTGTGTAAAACATGCCTTTTGAGAAAAAAGTGGCAATTATTTTCTTTTTAATTCTCTACCCTCTGCTCTAAAAATCCCTTCACCACTTTAGGGTATAGAAACGCTTACATACGTTTCAGGACATATGTCCAGGAAATACCCAGGAAATAGTGTTGTATAATAAATGATAACACAAGTTTTAATAATTTCACTCGAAAACATTTTAGGGGTCACTTCATGGTCACTTCTCCTTAGAATACTTCACAACATATGCACAGGATAACAGAAATTAAATACCGAAAAATGTGTACTTGAATACAATATACTATAACAGTAATTAAAATTCTAAGAGGTACAAGCTCTTTGCAGCCTGGGCTGTCGCTCTTCAGTTAAAACAAAATAAAAAATGAAGTTGAACAAAGATTTCGCAAACCATCATTTTCTCTTATAATAAAAAGAACCAAGAAGCAGCCGGCGACAGAATATTCTATCCACAGAGCGATGGTAGCATAGCAAATGACATCTTCTTCTTCTTCTCGATCGCATCACACTTGAAGTCCGGTATCTGTCATAAATTGGACCGTCCTGCTCAGTTCATCTGGCGGCCCGTATAGCTTCTCTTGTAGCGTCAGTGGGGTTGGCCACGTTTCCTGTCTCAGGGCCCTGTGTGTCTTGCAGTGCTGAAGGATGTGTTGGTGATTGTTCCTCGTCTCCTGGAACTCCAAGACGATGGAAGGCCCTCCAGTCGCTGGGGTGGACCCCTTCGAGGCTTGGGGCCCGGCACTGCACCTGCCTGGTGGGTCCTCACAGGGCGAGCACCATATCTAACGTTACCTTCTTCAAGTGTCGTATATTGCAGTATTACGTGGTATTGTGGTTCTCTAGAGTGCGCCTTGCGGCCCAATACTTCCGATTTCAGCACTCCAGCTCCAGGTCCAAGGATCTACCCTGGGAGCACAGGGAGGAATTGTTACCGGATCCCACCCGTAGCCAGGACTTAATGCGGTCCTTTCCCGCATGATGCTCCCGTCAGAGGACTCCTAGGGCATTTAATGACGTGGTAGTGCCACCTACCACCCCACCCCGTCCTGGTAAGAGCATCGCCAGTTGGTCCGGGGCTGCTTATTCAACATATTCACAGCTAACATCTATAACAGTGGCCGTTCCCTATCCGCCACCTGGGACCCGCCGGGTCGGGGATGGTCGCCCCACCCCGGTCAAATGACATCATATCATATACATTTTGAGGGGATGTCGGGAGGTTTCGGGGTTTTTTTTGCGTGGTTTCGGATGGATTTTGTGTGGTTTCGGATGGTTTTGGGAGGTTTCGGTTGTTTTCGGGAGGCTCCGGTATAAACAAGTACCCGCGGTTATCAGTATTGTTATAGTCGCTATTTGTTGTTCTCGACAAAGATAAATACGACATAAGACTACCTTAAAAACCAAGCAAAAGCAACTAAATTAGGATGTAATTTAGTGTCGATATTTGTCGTTATTTTGTTGTTATCAGTTGTTATCTCAACAAACATAAATACCAGGTAAATACCGTGATAAGCAGACTACCTTAAACACCAAGTAAAAACAAATAAATTGGGACGTTTGTGTTGATATTTATTGTTACTTCGTTGTTATCATTTGTTATTTGTAGCTATAATTTGTTATCAATTGTTATTTGTTGTTATCTCAACAAAGATAAATACCGAAGACTACCTAAAAAAAACAACAACAAAAAACAAGTCAAAGCAACTAAATTATGATGTTTGTGTTGATATTTGTAGTTATTTTGTTGTGATCAGTTGTTATTTGTTGTTATCAGTTGATATCTCGACAAAAACAAACACCGCACCAACTAGTAGAAAAACACCACGTTCCATGTAACAGAGAAATGCTGAAACCCCCCCAAACATTAACATCAAGAATACCAACATCAAAACTTTCATCATAAAAGAGACAGTGAAAAAGTAATGTGACCCAGTAGAACTGAAGACCACAGCTGTCAAAGCAATTGACTCCTACCCTAGTAATTTAATCCATAAATAAATTACTGATGGGTCAGCCATCAAGGGAACTATCAGATGGTCTATCAATGCAGGCTTTGGGGTAAGAATAGAACATTCTGACAAGATGTGTGAATAATTTTTTCATGCCAGTGGTACTTCTTATATAAATGATGAGGCAGAGGTCATCGCCCTTGAAGCAGCAATCCTCCACATGACCAACATTTTCATTTTAAATATATTCAGACAAAATGAAGGAAACTGTAATCTTCACAGACAGAAAATCAGTACTCAAGGCTTGGGAAAACATGAACTTCGAAAGCCCAGTTTGCCTATCTGTGGCTCTAACAAATTAACACCTTCACGCAGAACTATGCAGTCGACCTGACTTTACGTTGGATATCTGGCCTCAGCAACATCTCAGGAAATGACAGAGTAGACACTGGGGGTGGGCGCTAGGCAAAACTGGCCAAAATCGAGTACTTTATCGACTAAGAGAGCCCAATATTAGTAGGCCTAAATGCTCAGTGCTTACTAAGATTAAACAAGAATACGCAACAAAAGTTTCTTACTGTTATTACAATGTCAATCACTTTGGACAATATAAGGCCACAGAATGCAGTAGTAGCCCTGCATGCATTAGCCTAAGCTGTGTTTATTGCGTTGTTTTTTTAATCAAACCTTTTTCTGGTTTTGCCTTTTTTGTTCTTTTTGTTTGTTTGTCTGTATTTGTTGTTTTCTTTTGTTTGTTTGTCTTTTTCGGGGGGGGGGGGGGGTGCCGCAGGGCTTCATTTTTCTCTTTTTTTCAGTTTTAGCTGGACCCCCGAAAGTTACCTTCTAAAATTAGGGTGATCAACTGTTTTCATAAACTCTAGGAATCCCATAACTTCCACAATGGAAACTGGTAGCTTGTTTTGTTTTTATCACGGACAATAGTTTTTCCGTAAGCAGCATTTTCAAAGCTTTTTGAGAAAAACAAGTCAAACTTTCCATAACTTGAGTATCGACGATTAGTAGGCTTATCGACTAAGCGACGAAAATATCTAAGTACTTAAATAAGAGGGTCGTTCTTTACAAGTAGCCCTACTGAGAATTGGTATCAATTAGCGCCCACCACTAGCAGACACCTTTGCCAACAAAGGGAGCATTAACAAACACAACTCCAAAACCCAGTATCACATAGTCTAGAACATCATCAAATGCAACACCAGGGAACAGTGGCTGAATGGATGGGCATTGGGCAAAACTGGGAGAGCTGTATTCGCACACACATGACTGCTCCCTACTCAAAAGATGCACTAAATTCATTCCCTTAGTAGAAGAGAACAAGTCCCTACACATATTATAATGTCATCTTTCGCCAGCGAACACAACACATCCCACTGAATTCTTACCTAAATAAACTCTGCAAGGATGCCCCACCTGCCTGCCTGCCTGCCTGGTGTGTGACTGCCAGGATGAAACGGTGTGACGGTACACTATAGACTTCTTTGCATGCACTTAGCGACCTGCGTAGCACCTACCTGCCTGCCTCCACAGATTCGGAACTATACATACAGCGACAAAGCACAGCTGATAAAAAAACCTGTAAATTCTTGGTCATATCGACAGGTCGAAGGGCTCCCAGATGGCTGCTGGATCAGAAAAGTAAAGTAGAATCAGTTCCTGAACGCGCAGTGCGTCAGTTGA